AAGAATTAAATCTAAATTAACAAGGAAATCTAAAATTTAATTTGACTCATTCCTTTTACAAAAAGAGAAGGGATTATAAAAGAAAGGAGCACCAAGTTGTTTTTCACCTTAAAGAGGTTTTTTTTTTCTCCCAAAACCCTTCTCCAGTGTCTCGCTCCCACTTCAAATGGCAAGGGACAGTTGCCTAGCTCGTGTCACCGCGGGCGCCGCTATGGGTGGTGCTGTAGGCGGCGCTGTCGGTCAGTCTCATATATCCCTTTTCTTCATCTTGTACTATTATCTCTATTACCTTATGTTATATATATATAATCCATTTCGAAGGTATTTCTTAAAAATTATTATATATGCGTTTTTAGGTTTTCTTAATTGTATAGATTCGGTCTTTTAACATTTTTTGGTTCGTTTTAGATTTGCTTTAGATTTGCTTTGAAATGAAATGAAGTTTGATGGTTTACTTCTTATTATTTTATTAGGGAACCTTGTTCTTTCTAATGAGTGTCTGTTTAGTTTGGACTAAGTGTTGTTAAAGTTTCAGGTGTTGTATCCTTGGTGCTGATGATGGTTGTGTTGGAGTGGAATTGAAGTGTTGTTTTGGATTCCAGAAAATATTAAAAGATATTTGGGCAATAGGTTGAGAAAGCTTCTTTATTTATGTTTTCCAAAATGTTTCCTTGTTTTTTTACTTTATTTACAGTGGCTTTTGTTCAAAATTTTGAAAAGGGAGGAATGAAATGAAGTTTCTGAAACCAAATGGTTCTGTTTTCTAAGATTTGTACATAGTTTTTGTCATTGTCAACATGTTTGTGTCCCCTAGTTTCTCCATTGTGGAACGCATTTGATGTGATTTTATTAGTCTCAATGCTTATTTATGCCTATCCAAACGCACTGTTTTTGTGAAGTACGAAACAGAAATAGAATATGATTTCTTAAAACTAAAGAGACCATTTTATTCATAAATATTTTATATAATGTATGGACTATGGTGTATAAACTTGTCTGAGCAACCGATTTGAGTTTCCGTTGCTCTTCATTTTCACTATGAACTCATTATTCTTGCTTAAAAAACTTTGATTTTAATCTAAGAATTTTAGTCGTTTAGTGCTAGGGGTATCTTTTGGAACTAGCTAATACCAGGTTTCAGTTTCACCAAAGTCACTTTTTCTTAAATTTTGCCTACCTTTACCCTCTGCGCACCAAATTAAGCCTTTGTGATCGAATATATAAATTTGATATTGGTTGGTTGGATATTTTAGCTCTTTTCCATTTTTTTGGATGTATTTTATTGTAATCAGTTATAACTTGAAACGTTATTTTAGTCGTTCTATAGATATTTTATATTCCTGGACCTTGGGGATTCTAAAGTAGAACATTACTCTGTTTTCTTTTTTACAAAAAGGTTGTTACAAGAAGACATTTGTATGGAAGTCTCTCAATTTCAGACACAGAATTTTGAAGTCTTGAAATTTTTCCTAGAAGAGAGGGAAGGAGTCTGAGTGCATCATTGCACATTGATTGACATCTTGTTTTGTACTGAGTAGTAGTTATACGGTTGTGGATAAATTCATCAGTACATTAGGTTTCATTTTTTTTTTCAATGAATTAAGCTTGACACTCTATGATAAATATGTTCTGGTTAAGTATGATCTGAGAAGTTTTGTGAAGTGTCCATCATCTGTAATCTTGCTTTAAAAAGTAGTGAAAATTGTCAGCCAAGTGATTGGTTAAACTTTATTAACTGCTGGAATGTTATAGTCAAATGCATTTATAAAGTAAGATCATTTTGATTGTTCATTAGATCCAATTTACTCACATAGAAAAGTCGTAGAATACCGTTGTCTAATCTTTTAGCTTCTTTGCAGGTGCCGTGTACGGAACATATGAAGCTATTAGATATAAGGTATACCTTGTGGTCTTTTCCTGAACTTTCAAGAATAATATTGTTTAGAACTTTAGTTTGGCCTTCATTTTGTTACAATACATTTTTCATACTCTTCCTGGAGCCTTTTGTTATATGAAAGACATTTTTAAATTTTTTCTTTATCATACATATAGACTAAACGTCTTTTGTTATATGAAAAACATTTTTAAATTTTTTATGAAAATGCTTGTGTTTTTTGTTAGTTGAGATTACACAGATCAAATATAGTAAATTTCTGAACACACCCTGTGTAAAAGTTACACTGTCAACTAGAAATCATCTGTAATATGACTTTCAAAGTAGTTATTGTAAAAGTAAAACTTATCATAAATAGTTGTTTATGGTTGGATAATAGTGTCAAAATCCTTTACAAACAGGCCTTTAACCTTGTAATTAATTTTATTAAAATGTAGATGTAAAGCGTGTGTGCCAGGTAATTCAGAAATTCTCCATGTTATTAAAATTTAGGCTGAGGTCCTCCCAATAGCTGCCCTATTTTCCCCAACATAACAGTGTGTCCCAGCTGTTTATCAACGCGCCGCAAACTTTCCAGCAATGCACACTGCTGCTGGCAACCAACTCGGTAAAAAAACTGAAGAAAAGTATACCGGTTTTAAAAACTTACATCCTGAATCCTTTGTACTGATTTTTATACACATTGTCATAAAAGTAAAGAGTTCCTTTATGATACAAAGCAGCATTCCTATATATTAATGCATTGATTTGCATGCAGGTGCCTGGACTATTGAAAATTAGGCATATTGGACAAACTACACTTGGAAGTGCTGCTATTTTTGGTCTTTTTTTGGGTGCTGGTAGCTTGATACATTGTGGAAAATCATATTGAGGATAAAGATTTGACCTTTCCCCTACATACATTTCTTTGGTTGCTGCCCTTGTAAAGTATGAGTAGAGCAGGGATTTCCTGTTTTTTTTTTTATTACTAGTATTATTATTTTCTGGATCATGGAAAAGCTTTCATGGCACTACTCCCATGAAAATTCTCATTTATTTATCTCTGAGCGGTACTGTTGAAATTTCTTTACTAGGGCTTTCCTTCTACTTTTGATTCCTCACTTTCTTCATCTGAGACGGTGAATTATTGCTCTTGCAATAAAATTCTTCATCTTACTTAATGTCTTCAAGCTCTCCCGTCCTTCCACATATACTCACTCAACTATTGGGATGCTCACATTGGGTCTATCCCACTATTTCTGGCCAAAAAGTGGTATATACTAGTAACTTGTCAGATAAAACTACTGGTAAAGGGGAACATAAAGATGAAGTATGGCCAAATTCGTTTAAAAGATGGGATTTTGAGAAGTTGGTGCAGGAGAAATAGAAAAAAAAGAAAACACTTGAATTCATTTAATCTATTTTGTGAAATTCACTTTTTGAAGTTATGCTTTAATTGATTGACAACTTATGTACATCTACAATGTACCAAAATTAAACTCAAACGGAAGTATATTTCTTAGTTTATTTCTTGCTTACATACTGGATGAACCACAATTTTCAGTAAATGAATCAACCTGCCAGCAAGCTGCATACACTTCAGGCACTAATTTGTTGAAAATCAATTCTACTAGTTTTCATGAAGATATTTATAAAAAAAAACCTTGATTTGATAATTTAGACCCTACAGTTCAAAGAATTTAAAAACATGTATATGTAATTGGATACTGTAGAGGGCAATGTTTTATTTTTTAGAAGAAAAAGAAAGAGTACTAGAAAAAATGTTTTTATAAATAATTACAGAATTCATTCAGAAGATCACGGATGTCAAAATTTCTAATTGGCGAGTCACTATTCTGTGAAATGTTTAGCTCAACTACGACTCAATCATAGAGCTACTTTCCCCGTCATGCCCATAAGAATTCTCATTAAAACCAAATTGCCACAGATAATTAATTTTGCATTAATTAATCAATATATTATACATAAACTTTTTTAAATAAGATCTGATTAATAGTTCTCGAATAAAAATTGTAACAGAAAATGAATTCAAATGCATTGCTACAGTATAAGCTAGAAATTGATGACACCGGCACAATTACTTTCTTCAAAAGGAAAGCCCTGTAAGTCATTTCAGAATAATACATAATGAATAATTTGTTCTTTCAGAATCCCCAGGATTACAAAACATGAATCGATAAACTAACTAGATGAGCATCACAGCAGAGAATTGAATCCCAAACAAATCCAATTCAAAGTAAAGATCTTGAGTCTGACATTAGAAGTACCAGATTTGGTTTGGAGTTGATAAAACCGTCTGTTCTACTCTACAACAGCAATGACTACTTTTTTGTTGTTTGGTATCCTCAAATGTACTTGATCCTACTTATGGTGAGGGCCTTTGGCTTTTTCGTTCAATAACTAGGTATAGACATAAAAAATAATGGCTAGTGGAGGAATGGACACCCAAAAATCTAATGCTTTGCTAATCTAGTCACATGTAAGTAAAACAAAGGAAAAAAAAGGACCATATGCAATGACTGAATTATTCACCTAAAGATATAACGCAAGAATTTTCTGCAGATTGAAATCTGTCTTTTGGATGGTTATACTTGGGAAAATGTAAAGTTGATAACCCAAATGTTCATTGAAACCATAGCCTTTTGTCACCTAAACGTCTATGGCCTCCTACCACAATGAATCTTACTAAATTAAGTTCTTTTTAACTTATTTCAGTAAGCTTCAAAGTCAAACTAATGATATAAGCTCTGGTGTGATAATTACCCAAACTTGACACAGGTGTGTAATTAGTAAGGTAGTAGTATAATACTTTCCCACTGAACTAGAAATATTGATTGTTTTTCATCACCAATAGTCCCTGCAGGAACATTGCCCTTCCTTAAAGCAATGAAACCTGTGAGTATCTCTAACAGTGATTTCCCTGCCAGTGATGGCTGAAATATGTTTGATGGCATTGTGGCAATCACCACAAATTCTTAGGTTCTTCACAATCAATATAGGCACTCCTTCTTCAGTGGAGATTAGGCCAAATGCAACTGCCAGCTTCTCACTGTGATTCAATAACCTTCTTTCTTTCTCATTTCTCTCCACCTCGTCAGCATTCACCAATGCCCATCTTATATCAGGTACGTACCCTGCTTGCTTCATTTTCCTTAACAATTCCTCCATGTACACATGAATCTCTTTTATCATTGGATGTGAAGTGTCCTCAGCCACAAAGACATGCACCTTCTTATCTATCTCTATCCAACTACAACCTGGTTTCTTCTTCACTCCTCTCCCCCTCATCATCCTTTTAATGTTTGCAGCCTCTTCCCATCTGGAAGCACTTGCATACATATTTGAAAGCATTACATATGGAGCAGCATTATAAGGTTCCAGCCGGAGGAACTCATTGGCTGCTTTCACTGCTAGCTCCACATTTCCATGCTTCCTACACGCACCAAGCAAAGAAGCCCATTCAATAGAACCAGGATTAAATGGCATTGTTTCAATAATCCTCTCAGCCTCCCTGAGCTTACCTGCCCGACCCAAAAGATCTATCATGCAGGAAAAATGTTCTGCTTCTGGTTCAATCCCAAATTTTTCTTTCATCATATTGAAATATTTCTGACCCTCCTCAACTTTTCCAGTGTGTGCACATGCAGAAAGAACAGATATGAAGGTTATGCTGTTAGGTGCAATGTCTTTCTGCAGCATCAGTTCAAAAAGCCTGAGCGACTCAGCTTCAACACCATGTTGTGCATAGCCTGCAATCATTGAGTTTAAAGACACCGTGTTATGCCTTGTCATTGTATCAAACACCTTTCTTGCATCATGAACATTCCCACATCTGGAATACATAGCTACAAGAGCATTATCCACTGAAATGCGATTATAAGAAATGTCAGATTTGATAGCCAACGCATGAACCTGTTTTCCCACAGAAGGGGATGACAAATTAGAACAAGCACTAGTTACACACACAAAACTACAATCATCCGGATGAAAACCTTTCCGCTGCATCTCCTGGAAACACCAAAGACCATCTTCAGACAAGTCCTCATACTGTGAAAACCCGGAGATCATCGTGTTCCAAAGAACCAAATCAGGTACACGAATCTCCTTGAACACCTTCCTACATTCCACCATGCCACCAGCACACTTAGAATACAAATCAATCAACCCACTCCCAACATGTGAATTCCCATGGAACCCACTCTTAACCATCATTCCATGAAACTGCATGCCCCCAACCAAATCCTTAACACAAGTAAAAGCAGTCAAAACACTTGCCATGGTAAACATATCAACCTTCAAACCCTTCCTAACCATCTCAATGAACAATCCCACCGCCTCCAATCCCTCCCGATGCTGCCCACATGCCACAATCATTGCATTCCACGAAACTTCATCCCTGGACCCACCCTCCCCCATCTCCCTAAACACCCTCTTCGCCTCATTAAAAAACCCCTTCCTACTATAACAAGCAAGCAGTGCATTATTCACCGAAGCATAACAATCATACCCACACATCACCACAAAGCAGTGCAACTGCCGAACCAATCCAACATCATCACCACAGGCAGTGATCACGCCAGACAGCGTGAATCCGTCAAGGCCCAAACCGAGCTCTCTAACTTCCTCAAAGAGCCTCAACACCGGCCCACACTCACCCCTATCAGCATAGGCACCTATAAGGGTGTTGTAAGAGACTAAGTCTGGTTGGGGAATTTCATCAAACAGCTGGTGGGCAAGGTGGATAAGGGAGTGTTTAGCATATGCATTGATGAGGGTGTTGTAAGAGAAAACATTGGGGTGTTGAGTGAGGTGGAAGGTGGTTTGGGCACTGTGGAGGGAACCACATTTGGAGTAGAGGAGGGTGAAGTGGTTGGAGAGGTAGGTGGAAGGTGGGATAAGAGACTTGAAGTAAAGGGCATGGAGGATTTTGCCTGTTATGAGGTCTCTTTGGGCTATGCAAGCTTTGAGAAGGTTGCGAAAGGTTTGAACTTGAAAGGGGTACATGCATTGCATGGGAATTGGGTCATCTAATATAAGAAGCTATTATGAAGAAACCAATCTCTGGTATCTATAACTTCAACTAATCAACAATGACATAGAACACCATAGAATTAATTCGATGTACTCCCAAAACAGTATTATGTATTGCATTTCAATGCCTTCAGACACCCTTTTGTAATTTATATTTGCTTTGGACTTTCGACAGCATAGGGTGTTGGAATTTGTTTGGTCATGAATTTCTATTTTCCCCCCTTTAGCTATTGGAATTAAATTATCTGTACAGAAAAAAAAAGTTTTGAATTAGTTTTGAGAGAGCAGTCTAAAGTAGATTTTCATGCCTGTATACCTGCATCCACATACTCTAAATAATATTGGGTTCTGTTCTTTTTGTGTGTTTTGTCTTTCCCCATTTGGTTAGCAACTATTTTTTTTAAGAAAATGACTTGGTCCAAAGGTTTCACAATAATAATTTAGTTACCAACTTTTATTTGGAAGCAAGCCAGAACAAAAGTAGTTGAAAACTACAAAAATAAGAGATGGATATCACTCTTTCCTAATTCCATCCAACACTGTCATGAAACCTATAAGAGAAAGAGGGCACTTTCAACTTTATGGTAGAATTGTTTAATCATTTCTTAGAGATAAAATGTTAGACCTACTTAAGTGTATATATTTCTATAAAGAGTAATGATATCATGACACACTTTTACATTCATTTTACATAGAGCACAAGGAGAAAATAGTTATAAAAATGNTTTACTCACATAGAAAAGTCGTAGAATACCGTTGTCTAATCTTTTAGCTTCTTTGCAGGTGCCGTGTACGGAACATATGAAGCTATTAGATATAAGGTATACCTTGTGGTCTTTTCCTGAACTTTCAAGAATAATATTGTTTAGAACTTTAGTTTGGCCTTCATTTTGTTACAATACATTTTTCATACTCTTCCTGGAGCCTTTTGTTATATGAAAGACATTTTTAAATTTTTTCTTTATCATACATATAGACTAAACGTCTTTTGTTATATGAAAAACATTTTTAAATTTTTTATGAAAATGCTTGTGTTTTTTGTTAGTTGAGATTACACAGATCAAATATAGTAAATTTCTGAACACACCCTGTGTAAAAGTTACACTGTCAACTAGAAATCATCTGTAATATGACTTTCAAAGTAGTTATTGTAAAAGTAAAACTTATCATAAATAGTTGTTTATGGTTGGATAATAGTGTCAAAATCCTTTACAAACAGGCCTTTAACCTTGTAATTAATTTTATTAAAATGTAGATGTAAAGCGTGTGTGCCAGGTAATTCAGAAATTCTCCATGTTATTAAAATTTAGGCTGAGGTCCTCCCAATAGCTGCCCTATTTTCCCCAACATAACAGTGTGTCCCAGCTGTTTATCAACGCGCCGCAAACTTTCCAGCAATGCACACTGCTGCTGGCAACCAACTCGGTAAAAAAACTGAAGAAAAGTATACCGGTTTTAAAAACTTACATCCTGAATCCTTTGTACTGATTTTTATACACATTGTCATAAAAGTAAAGAGTTCCTTTATGATACAAAGCAGCATTCCTATATATTAATGCATTGATTTGCATGCAGGTGCCTGGACTATTGAAAATTAGGCATATTGGACAAACTACACTTGGAAGTGCTGCTATTTTTGGTCTTTTTTTGGGTGCTGGTAGCTTGATACATTGTGGAAAATCATATTGAGGATAAAGATTTGACCTTTCCCCTACATACATTTCTTTGGTTGCTGCCCTTGTAAAGTATGAGTAGAGCAGGGATTTCCTGTTTTTTTTTTTATTACTAGTATTATTATTTTCTGGATCATGGAAAAGCTTTCATGGCACTACTCCCATGAAAATTCTCATTTATTTATCTCTGAGCGGTACTGTTGAAATTTCTTTACTAGGGCTTTCCTTCTACTTTTGATTCCTCACTTTCTTCATCTGAGACGGTGAATTATTGCTCTTGCAATAAAATTCTTCATCTTACTTAATGTCTTCAAGCTCTCCCGTCCTTCCACATATACTCACTCAACTATTGGGATGCTCACATTGGGTCTATCCCACTATTTCTGGCCAAAAAGTGGTATATACTAGTAACTTGTCAGATAAAACTACTGGTAAAGGGGAACATAAAGATGAAGTATGGCCAAATTCGTTTAAAAGATGGGATTTTGAGAAGTTGGTGCAGGAGAAATAGAAAAAAAAGAAAACACTTGAATTCATTTAATCTATTTTGTGAAATTCACTTTTTGAAGTTATGCTTTAATTGATTGACAACTTATGTACATCTACAATGTACCAAAATTAAACTCAAACGGAAGTATATTTCTTAGTTTATTTCTTGCTTACATACTGGATGAACCACAATTTTCAGTAAATGAATCAACCTGCCAGCAAGCTGCATACACTTCAGGCACTAATTTGTTGAAAATCAATTCTACTAGTTTTCATGAAGATATTTATAAAAAAAAACCTTGATTTGATAATTTAGACCCTACAGTTCAAAGAATTTAAAAACATGTATATGTAATTGGATACTGTAGAGGGCAATGTTTTATTTTTTAGAAGAAAAAGAAAGAGTACTAGAAAAAATGTTTTTATAAATAATTACAGAATTCATTCAGAAGATCACGGATGTCAAAATTTCTAATTGGCGAGTCACTATTCTGTGAAATGTTTAGCTCAACTACGACTCAATCATAGAGCTACTTTCCCCGTCATGCCCATAAGAATTCTCATTAAAACCAAATTGCCACAGATAATTAATTTTGCATTAATTAATCAATATATTATACATAAACTTTTTTAAATAAGATCTGATTAATAGTTCTCGAATAAAAATTGTAACAGAAAATGAATTCAAATGCATTGCTACAGTATAAGCTAGAAATTGATGACACCGGCACAATTACTTTCTTCAAAAGGAAAGCCCTGTAAGTCATTTCAGAATAATACATAATGAATAATTTGTTCTTTCAGAATCCCCAGGATTACAAAACATGAATCGATAAACTAACTAGATGAGCATCACAGCAGAGAATTGAATCCCAAACAAATCCAATTCAAAGTAAAGATCTTGAGTCTGACATTAGAAGTACCAGATTTGGTTTGGAGTTGATAAAACCGTCTGTTCTACTTTACAACAGCAATGACTACTTTTTTGTTGTTTGGTATCCTCAAATGTACTTGATCCTACTTATGGTGAGGGCCTTTGGCTTTTTCGTTCAATAACTAGGTATAGACATAAAAAATAATGGCTAGTGGAGGAATGGACACCCAAAAATCTAATGCTTTGCTAATCTAGTCACATGTAAGTAAAACAAAGGAAAAAAAAGGACCATATGCAATGACTGAATTATTCACCTAAAGATATAACGCAAGAATTTTCTGCAGATTGAAATCTGTCTTTTGGATGGTTATACTTGGGAAAATGTTAAGTTGATAACCCAAATGTTCATTGAAACCATAGCCTTTTGTCACCTAAACGTCTATGGCCTCCTACCACAATGAATCTTACTAAATTAAGTTCTTTTTAACTTATTTCAGTAAGCTTCAAAGTCAAACTAATGATATAAGCTCTGGTGTGATAATTACCCAAACTTGACACAGGTGTGTAATTAGTAAGGTAGTAGTATAATACTTTCCCACTGAACTAGAAATATTGATTGTTTTTCATCACCAATAGTCCCTGCAGGAACATTGCCCTTCCTTAAAGCAATGAAACCTGTGAGTATCTCTAACAGTGATTTCCCTGCCAGTGATGGCTGAAATATGTTTGATGGCATTGTGGCAATCACCACAAATTCTTAGGTTCTTCACAATCAATATAGGCACTCCTTCTTCAGTGGAGATTAGGCCAAATGCAACTGCCAGCTTCTCACTGTGATTCAATAACCTTCTTTCTTTCTCATTTCTCTCCACCTCGTCAGCATTCACCAATGCCCATCTTATATCAGGTACGTACCCTGCTTGCTTCATTTTCCTTAACAATTCCTCCATGTACACATGAATCTCTTTTATCATTGGATGTGAAGTGTCCTCAGCCACAAAGACATGCACCTTCTTATCTATCTCTATCCAACTACAACCTGGTTTCTTCTTCACTCCTCTCCCCCTCATCATCCTTTTAATGTTTGCAGCCTCTTCCCATCTGGAAGCACTTGCATACATATTTGAAAGCATTACATATGGAGCAGCATTATAAGGTTCCAGCCGGAGGAACTCATTGGCTGCTTTCACTGCTAGCTCCACATTTCCATGCTTCCTACACGCACCAAGCAAAGAAGCCCATTCAATAGAACCAGGATTAAATGGCATTGTTTCAATAATCCTCTCAGCCTCCCTGAGCTTACCTGCCCGACCCAAAAGATCTATCATGCAGGAAAAATGTTCTGCTTCTGGTTCAATCCCAAATTTTTCTTTCATCATATTGAAATATTTCTGACCCTCCTCAACTTTTCCAGTGTGTGCACATGCAGAAAGAACAGATATGAAGGTTATGCTGTTAGGTGCAATGTCTTTCTGCAGCATCAGTTCAAAAAGCCTGAGCGACTCAGCTTCAACACCATGTTGTGCATAGCCTGCAATCATTGAGTTTAAAGACACCGTGTTATGCCTTGTCATTGTATCAAACACCTTTCTTGCATCATGAACATTCCCACATCTGGAATACATAGCTACAAGAGCATTATCCACTGAAATGCGATTATAAGAAATGTCAGATTTGATAGCCAACGCATGAACCTGTTTTCCCACAGAAGGGGATGACAAATTAGAACAAGCACTAGTTACACACACAAAACTACAATCATCCGGATGAAAACCTTTCCGCTGCATCTCCTGGAAACACCAAAGACCATCTTCAGACAAGTCCTCATACTGTGAAAACCCGGAGATCATCGTGTTCCAAAGAACCAAATCAGGTACACGAATCTCCTTGAACACCTTCCTACATTCCACCATGCCACCAGCACACTTAGAATACAAATCAATCAACCCACTCCCAACATGTGAATTCCCATGGAACCCACTCTTAACCATCATTCCATGAAACTGCATGCCCCCAACCAAATCCTTAACACAAGTAAAAGCAGTCAAAACACTTGCCATGGTAAACATATCAACCTTCAAACCCTTCCTAACCATCTCAATGAACAATCCCACCGCCTCCAATCCCTCCCGATGCTGCCCACATGCCACAATCATTGCATTCCACGAAACTTCATCCCTGGACCCACCCTCCCCCATCTCCCTAAACACCCTCTTCGCCTCATTAAAAAACCCCTTCCTACTATAACAAGCAAGCAGTGCATTATTCACCGAAGCATAACAATCATACCCACACATCACCACAAAGCAGTGCAACTGCCGAACCAATCCAACATCATCACCACAGGCAGTGATCACGCCAGACAGCGTGAATCCGTCAAGGCCCAAACCGAGCTCTCTAACTTCCTCAAAGAGCCTCAACACCGGCCCACACTCACCCCTATCAGCATAGGCACTTATAAGGGTGTTGTAAGAGACTAAGTCTGGTTGGGGAATTTCATCAAACAGCTGGTGGGCAAGGTGGATAAGGGAGTGTTTAGCATATGCATTGATGAGGGTGTTGTAAGAGAAAACATTGGGGTGTTGAGTGAGGTGGAAGGTGGTTTGGGCACTGTGGAGGGAACCACATTTGGAGTAGAGGAGGGTGAAGTGGTTGGAGAGGTAGGTGGAAGGTGGGATAAGAGACTTGAAGTAAAGGGCATGGAGGATTTTGCCTGTTATGAGGTCTCTTTGGGCTATGCAAGCTTTGAGAAGGTTGCGAAAGGTTTGAACTTGAAAGGGGTACATGCATTGCATGGGAATTGGGTCATCTAATATAAGAAGCTATTATGAAGAAACCAATCTCTGGTATCTATAACTTCAACTAATCAACAATGACATAGAACACCATAGAATTAATTCGATGTACTCCCAAAACAGTATTATGTATTGCATTTCAATGCCTTCAGACACCCTTTTGTAATTTATATTTGCTTTGGACTTTCGACAGCATAGGGTGTTGGAATTTGTTTGGTCATGAATTTCTATTTTCCCCCCTTTAGCTATTGGAATTAAATTATCTGTACAGAAAAAAAAAGTTTTGAATTAGTTTTGAGAGAGCAGTCTAAAGTAGATTTTCATGCCTGTATACCTGCATCCACATACTCTAAATAATATTGGGTTCTGTTCTTTTTGTGTGTTTTGTCTTTCCCCATTTGGTTAGCAACTATTTTTTTTAAGAAAATGACTTGGTCCAAAGGTTTCACAATAATAATTTAGTTACCAACTTTTATTTGGAAGCAAGCCAGAACAAAAGTAGTTGAAAACTACAAAAATAAGAGATGGATATCACTCTTTCCTAATTCCATCCAACACTGTCATGAAACCTATAAGAGAAAGAGGGCACTTTCAACTTTATGGTAGAATTGTTTAATCATTTCTTAGAGATAAAATGTTAGACCTACTTAAGTGTATATATTTCTATAAAGAGTAATGATATCATGACACACTTTTACATTCATTTTACATAGAGCACAAGGAGAAAATAGTTATAAAAATGTAAACTTTTGTATTTTTTCAAGAAAGAAGAGAGTAAAAAGTAAGAAATGGTAGTGTTAAATGAATGTAAAATATTTAAGTGTGTCAAAGAATCATTACTTTCTATAAAATATCACAAACTGATTACGAAAATGGTTTAACATAATATGTTAGCTTGTTGATTATTATTTTTTCACTTGAGCATAATTTAATAATAAATTGTATCTATCTCTAA